TCATCAGGCCTCTCATCCACGTCATCCACGTTCATTGGCACGTGAACACCAAAGGGCACGGTGGAGTCTTCAGTCATCAGAGTGGGATCAGGAGAGCCAAGAAAAAGAAAGGTTCCCGGGTCGCACAGCAGCCCCCAGGAGTCGCAGTCCGGCCGTTTCGTTTAGGGGTTTGGGGTTTCGACTCACACACTCGCACGAAGCAGGCATGGCAAGGAGACGTCCCAGGGTTTAGGGTTTAGAGTTTAGACAGGTTACATTACCAGGGCATTTTTGACACTCTCTGAGCTGAGTTTGCAAGTGGGAGTTGGAAGATCTGTTCCCAGAGACGCTCTTGAGCCTGGATGGGTTTAGGGTTTAGGGCTACGGCTTTATGCATCAAACTGAAGCATGCGTAAAGCTTCTATGGGACTCCTCCAAGCACGCAAACTATCGAACCCAGTCCCTTCAAGAGACATTGCCTTTGAGAGTTCACGTTTACGTAAGCGCTCTTTGGGGCTCAGTAATCCAGGAAAAAAAGTATAGCTATAGTTAGAAGACCTGAGACTCCTAGAAGTACCCTGCTTTGGGTTTTCATGCTGAACAACCAGACTTTATGACTCAGCCGTTTCAAGATCTGCCACTTGGTTGCTGAGTTCATAAGCCCCAAAGAGTGTACACTTTCAGTTCTACAAGGAATCATATAATCCCAAAAAGTGTAAAGTGTACTCACTCAGCTAGGTTCCCCAGTAGCCCCTTAATGATAAGGGTACCCTTTGTCCTATTATTTGGTTTTAATAGGGGAACCCAAAAAGAAACATGGCAAAAGGGTACTACTGGGGAACCTAGTCAGCTACTAAGGCCAAAGAGCATGTTCCGGCCGTTCCCGCAGAACTCGCCTTTCCCCGCAGTGGCCACGCAGAAGACGACCAAGGGCTCCGAGGCAAGTGCGGCCTCAGCGCTCTTTCTTTCTCTCTCTCTCTCTCTCTTTTGGGCTTCTCCGTAAATACCCTGCCAAAGATGAACAAAGTCTCAAGTACACGATCTTGAGGTCTTTATGCCTGCGCTTGCATACCTTTTGAACCCTTTTGAACGAGGTCTCTCTGAAGTGCCTCCTACCTTTTGAACCCTAAACCCTAAACCTAAACCCTAAATCCTAAACGAACGCATTTTGAGCCCTAAACCCTAAACCTGAGAACGAACGCACTAAGAGTGCGGCCACATCGAAGGAGTCCATGGTGCCGCAGCGCACGGCGCTGCTGGCGAAGCCACCGTTGCGGCACTGACGAGCCACAGCTTTGGCGCACTCTTCTGCGTGGCCGGTGTCAGAGGAGTAGAGGATGGTAACCTTAATGTAGGTAATTCGAATCGGGTAATTTTAACCGGGTTTTGGGCTTTATTATCCTATAGTTATATTCAGGACCCCCCGCAAAATTATTAGTAATTATTTAGGCCCGCACCTTACTTTTGCTAACACCCAAGGTACGAAGCGGTGAACCTGTCAGACAGGTGCAAGTACCTATACGAGCCCGATACGTAAGGTTAGAAGTTGAATCACAGAAAAGGCCGAGCTAAACGATAGGAACCCAGAAATTGACCGGTCGTGCTTAGTTGAACTCAGTAACGGTCTTTGAGGCAGCAGCCAATCCCTCGCTGAGGGCGGCGGCATCCCCACCGTCGGCGGCCGTCGCGGAAGGCAAAGACTTCTTGGCGATCAGCGTCAGCAAACCTGGGCTCTTCAAACCCTAAACCCTAAACCCTTTTAGGGTTTAGGGTTTAGGGTTCAGGGTTTAGGGTTTAGGGTTAACATGCCAGCAACTTTCACCATCACCAAGAACTCGATCTTAAGTCCGGAACCCTCAATCCCCCCTGTTTATGGTACCTTAAAAGCGGCACTTAGATACCCTGGAACCCATACCACCTTATAACCCCTAAAGTCTATACCCCCCTTCCATGGTACCCTAAAAGCGGTACTTAGATATCCAAGATCCCATACCACCTCCCTTTCCATGGTACCTGAAAAAGGCGTTACCTAACCCTAAACCCTAAACCCTAAACCCTAAACCCTATAAACCCTAAATCCTAACGGGGAGCTCTCTCTCGAAAGAAAGCCCTGGATCTCCTGACGGACGCGCACGCTGTCCTTACTTCTCCAGGCTCCCAACGGGCGAAACTAAAGGGTTTAGGGTTTAGGGTTTAGTAAACCTCATGGAGAACATGTGGGGATTAAAGGTACATCTAATGTCATGGGTTATAACTATGGGTCTTACATGTAGAAAATCATGAGTATCTAAGGAAAACACAGTACCCCAAAAAGGTTAAAGGCTGCCTACTAATATGAGCAAGAGTCTGTGGAGAAGGCAGGCAAGCCTTTGTCTTCCTTGCGAGGGTCGTAGGTGAAGGATGTCCAGTTCTCATCACCCTTGATGGTCTCCTAAGTTCTGAGAGTTTACTGTCATCAAGGGCTTTACAATAAGGATCCCTATGATCATCCTTGTAAGGTAGGGGGGTTTATTAACCAGGGGCGTCCAGAAATCTAGGAAACTCTGTCGTTCATCACGGTTCGTAGAAGAAGCACGACAGATCCCCAAATAGGAAAACTGAACAAATCGCCCAGTCTCCGCTGGAGCGACCAGCACGAAGGCGGGGCCCTCCATGTAGCCGGCAGCCTCCTTGAGGAGGCCACCAGAGCTCTCCAAGTCTCCGGCAGCCACGTACACACCGCCATACCTTAGGGTTCGACTCTCACGACGCAAGACAGGCAAGGATCTACAATCAAGTCGGCATCAAGCTGACCTACACGGCAAGGACTCGTGGGCACAGCAGCTGCGGCAAATGTCTGAAGACAATCCGTCGTGCGTAAGCAAACAAGCAGAGGGCTAAGGAAACGACTGTAGGAGGGCTATGCAACCCGAAGCCCTACACCCTAAGCATCAGCAAGATACTCCATGGCACGCAAGACCTCCAGCTGGGAGACAGGCTTCCTGGGTTGCGAGGTACAGTATCCAAAGAAATCCACCCCTAGCTCGTTAAGCATGATCTGGAAACATAACGCAACAGTAACATAAAAAAGGTGCAACATTGCAGCACCCAGCTTCTGCGTGGCCACCAAGAGCACCGCGAGATGCTTGGATCCTTGTTGGAGTGCCGTCTGCACCTCGAGCACCCATCTTAATTTGAATTCTGCTGCGCTGCCGCTGCTATGGCTAAAGTCTCAGGGTAGTGAGGGTAGTATCGCGATGCTCAGAAAACTTAAATTGATACTGGACTACTTGGACTTGAAGAAGAAACTTAAGGGGTCATGTACTTAGAAACAAAGAACCCGCCTCGGAGAGAGTCGACGATCCAAGCTGTAAAGCGGCCCAGCACTTACCCTCTTCTGATGAGTTCGCGGCACTCACCGCAGCGCTCAGCGAGGTGTGGACCTGGGTTCTTAGGTTCTTGCCAAGGAACTACAACTAACCTACCGCACTAAAGACAGCAGGTTACTTACTCTATGAGCCTACTGGGAGGCCCTCTCAAACCTTAGTAAGCCCACAAACCCCCTGTAAGAACCCGTAGCAAGCAACCTAAGCCCTAAACCCTACGCCCTCAACCCCAAACCCAAACCCTAAACCCTTAGTCCTAAAACCCAAACCCTAAACCGTTTGCCCTAAACCCCAAACCCTAGAGCCTTAGCCCTAACCTCCCCCCGGCCTTGGATGAAGGCAGACCTTTCAGGAGCGATGTTGCTTTCTCCATGGCCATTTGCCCCCAAGCAAAACGCGACGGGACGGACCCCAAACTCACGGGACGCACAGGAAGTTTGCTTTTTGGATCCTGGAGCCAAAATGGCTCGGTTTAGGGTTTATTTAGGGTTTGAGGCTTCAGGAGGGTTTAGGACTCGGGTTTCAACGCCAAACCCTAAACCACAAATCCTGAACCCGGAACCCCTGGGCTAGGCTGAGTCCGCAGGCACTGCATCGCTCTGCATGTCTTCTCTGTTTTTTTGCTGAGGGACACAGTTAGTTGAGCTTTGCCACCTTCGCAGGCTCTTGCTGCATATCCCTATATGGTAGAGAGACTGAAGTGAAATAGTTCCATATAAACCCGACCTTAAGATTAAGTTACAGTAACTTTTAACAATTTCCCTCAGACAGCGGGCCAGTACCACTTTCATCGCTTAGCCGACTTAGCCATCCCGTCATGCTGACCCAAACGACGGCGTTATCATTGGTAACTCTTCAGGCTCCAATATATTAAGCCTGAATACACCCGCATAGCTATTCCTTAGGTGTCCTAAGTCCTAAGTATACCTTCAATATGGAAGTAACTGTTAAGGCCCCATATTGAGGACGATCGGAGCTTCTGCGAAAAAGGAACCCCAATATAGACCTTAGGCCGCGGGCTGCCTAAAAAAAGAAACTGTAGAGATCCTAAAATACAGCTCTCAAGCCCCTTTTTAGCCACAGAGGGCATCAACTTGAGGAACATAGGGAGGTAGTATAAACCTTGAACCCGAAACCCCTGACATGTTGACCTCATGCCATAAACCCTGACATGTAGCCTTCAGCGGGATATGAATTCTGCGATCGTCCTCACCCGGTCCACCAGGCTCTGGGAGTCTGAAAAACTACTATTCTTACCCTTACCTGGCCCCAATCCAACCCCTCCTTTGTCAGGGTTTAGGGTTTAGGGGTTTAGGGTTTAGGGTTTAATTTGTGCGAGCGTGAGAATTGAAAACGCACAAACTCCTAATTAAATTCAACTGTCACTGAGTCGGGGGCAGTATCAAACCTGAACCCTGAGCCGACGCAGTCCTGGGGAATCACGTCAAAGGCGAGACTGACGGAGCCATGGCGGTACCGGGACAGCAAGTGCTGCTGCATCTCTTCCTGGAGGTGTTTAAGTCCTAAAGTTTAGGCCTTTGGGTTTGGGCTTGGGGTTTGGGTCTTAAGCTTCAGGGCTCGCAGCAACTCTTCCTGGAGGTGTTTAGGTTCCGCTCAACAACGGTTTAGGGGAGTCTCTGCTTAACATCGGTTTAACGTTTTAAAGGGTGCTTTGACATTCACAGTCGGACAAAGGGTTTAGGGTTCTTGAGTTCAAGCCTTGAGGCTTCAGGAACTTCAGGGATTAAGCATTGCAGTTTTGCAGTTGGGCGTCCAGGCTGTGTGCCACTAGGCTCAAGTGTTCAAACTGTTTATGTGTTTTGGAGTAATATAGCGGGCCTCAATGATTAGAATAAGGTTTTGGGGTCCACTATACTATAATCATATAAGGAGCCTCAAAATAGCATTGGTGATTATTTAGGCCCCTACATTACGGTTCAGAGTTCCGGGTGCAGGAATCAAGCCCGTGATCTCAAATTTTGTCTAAAGCGTGTTAGCATGCTAAGGGCATACGGTTCTGTGCACTTCGGTTTTTGGGTCGGCTGCATACTTCGAACAGGATCCCAATCATGAAAGACGTGGGTCATCCACGTTATCCAGGGACAAGTTCGATTGTCTTGGCAGAAGCTATCAACTTGGGACATCAGCATCTTGGTGCCTTGTAGCGGAGTCCCAAACCCATGTTGCAAGTCTTCAGTGTAGGCATGCCCTGCACCAGAAACCGAAAACCCAAACCATAAAGTCCTAAAGCTCCACACCCCAAGCCCCAAACTCACATACTGAGTCGGAGGCCAACTGCTTCTTGCTGTCTTCGCTCATATTGAAGTCGCCACCTTGCAACAGCAGTGCTTTGGGGTAGGTTGAGGAGTAGCGGGTCGTTTAGGTTATCTAGTAGGATATAGAAGCTTTGGTTCTCGCAAATCGGACAAGCCAGTCGAGGTCTCTCGGTTCCACTATCACAAGAAGTTTAAGGTTAAGGGGATTTAAGGGGCCTCGAATCTCACGCCTGCTCAAGGGATTAACGACGACTGGCCGACTGGCCCTATCGCACATTCTGGGGTTTCAGGGTTTAGAGGCAACCAGCTCAACAAGGATCATTGGGGTTTGGGGTTGGGATGCCTTCATGCATTAACGGCCCCAGCACTGCAAGCTTGATCCATGCCACTATAAAGCAAGTATCCCATGTTGCGTCGTGAGAACTGGAAGCCTGCACCACGACATGCGCTGTGGGTTTCCCGCCTAACGTCTAGTGATTTTACCAAGAACCCTAAGCCTAGATCTAAATTACTTAACCCGAAAACACCCTAAGTTAAACTGAATCCGAGTTGGGTGTTGCGAGTGTAGGTCCTCGTCGGTGGAACTCGCTCTGAAGTATTTCAAGCACAGCCACTGTTGCCTCTAGGGCCCCATCATCTTCAAACCTCAATGCCGGTAAGTATCCAGAAGCCGTCAACAAACCTGCTCACAAAAACGCCACATGGCAGGCTCCCTGCCCAATGGCCCTTCCAAAAGCACTTAGCTCTGGTGCCTTGCAAACAATGACATGAAGTAGATATATATAAATAAATAAATATATAAATATATAAATATATATATATATATATATATATTTATTTATATATTTATATAGCTATAATGGCGGAATCTGGTCCGAAACTAACAGGACCAAGGCCGGCAAGTTCATCCAGTCACCCGGAGCTTCGGGTTTAGGGTTTAGACCGCAAACTTGGAGCCGCGAGCCCTCATCCCTACTTCCCAGCTGATCATGTTTTTGGGTGTGTGACTCCAGTTCTTGAGCCGGAATCCGAATGTCTAGACGTCTTGTGCCTCCCAATGCTACCAGCTGCATAGATAGTACTATGGGATCCAGTTTACTCATAGCCGCTAGCCCGAACTACCCCCAAACGCCAAACAACAAAACCAGAAACCGCAAACCCTTAAAACTAAAAACCCATGTCTCTCTGTCTCTCTCACTCTCTTTTTGTCCTCTCTTGCGGATTAAGAAGCCCCTATGAATACCAACCTCAAGCTGTAGCAGCCCTCAAGGCTTAGGAGAAGAACGCGCCGCGCGAACTAACATAGGGGCCTTAATAACTAGAATAGGGTTTTGGGGTATAGTATACTTTAATTATAATAGGGTAATAAGAAACCTCCAAAATAGTATAGGTAATCATTTGAGACACCTGTATTAATTCTTAAGGAGCGTCTTGTGGAAAGCCGTGTCTGTCAAGCCAAGGCCAAGCCACGACGGGAGCAGTCGGCTGGGAGCGTCTGTGCGCGCTTGGAGTTGCGGAGGTCGCCTGGGGGGAGGGCTTTGGAGGTTTTAAGGTTTTAAGTTTTTTTTTGGGGGGCCTAGTTCAAGGTTCAGGGTTATCGATTATAGGGATTAGGGAACTAGCGCTTGGTGTAGGGCCAGATTACGCTGCCTGCCACAACTCGGAAACGCCGGATTAGGGCCAGGGGCTTCCGGGGCTAAGATTCAACCGCCAGAACCCCAAAACCAATTTTTGGAGGTTTCTGTAAACAGAAACTATTTGTACGTGTTTTTGCGGTCAGTAAGTGCAGTGCGATTGTTTTTTTTTACAGGGTCGCGCCCCTGAAACGCTACGCCTATGCAGGAATTCGGAGCTAGGCTCTGCTTGCGACCGAAGTAAAGATCCTGTCTTCAAGGGCTCCGAACATGAGAAAGAGACAGGGCTTTTCATACCATGGACCCTGAAAAAGGAGAGATTTAGGGGTTCGCTAAACCCTAAACCCTAAACCCTAAAGCTGATGTGGAAGCCGAGGGTTTGTTCGGACCTGAAGAGGGTATCGATACTGCGGACTGCTAGCCTTTTGGAGTCTCAGTGGGCGCAGTGAGCGGGGATATAAACGAGTGATAAATGCCCTTGTTGGCTTTATCGCACTTGCAACCCCGAAAGTCTATTTGGGAGTTTCCGAACATAAGGGACCCTCATATAGGACCCTAAATAGTAAGATCCCTATAATAAGGACCCAGAATAAGATACCCCTGATTTTCGGAAACCCGCACTTCCTAAGCCTCATGATACTTTAAGAAGCAGGCCGGCCTCGAAGGCCGAACTCCCTCGTTCTTTAGGCTTTTTCACTCTAAGAGGGGATCCTCCTATATAGGTCCTTCATGAGGGTTTGGGCTTCGGTTGGAGCCCAGGGGTTTAGGGTTAAGAGGGGGATCTGCGTAGGGCTCAACATTAAAAGCTAAGCCAGGCGTCTGAAATCCGGATCGGCGGCCGTCCCTGCCGCGATGGTGAACCCACGATTGGCCTGCTCGAGGGGCGCTGAATCTGAAGCCCAAAGCCCCCCTTTTTGCAACGGCCTTGTCAGATCTCGACCGGACTGATAGCCCCAAAGCCCCTAAACCCTGAACCCTAGTAATAAATCAGGACTCTTATAGAGCGACCGATCAAACTACCAAGGCAGCTTTAAGGGGTCTAAGAATCAGGGGTCTGCATACAGGGTTTGGGTTTAGTCATGTAGAGCATGCGAGTTGCTCAGGGCCTTTCTTCGGCCTTGGATGCATGATTCGTGGCGCGGCGAGGTTTAGGGCTTGTAGGGTTTAAGCGTTTTCATTGTAAGGTGTACGGTCTCGCCTTCTATCTCCATGTCCACGAGAGGATCTATGTCACTTGCTTTAGACCCCTCTTAGGGAAGATCTCTGAGAGCAAGGCTCAGAATCCAAGCAAGTTTATCAAGATGTTTCCTTACTTAAAGGCTTTTGGATGATGTTTGGGATTTCTTTATATGTGAGCCACAACCCTTTACCTCATAGTCCTACAGAGAATGCCGCGCACATCGGCACGGGAAACGCCTTACGCCCTTCGAGCATGCGCTTGTCGACGTCCACCCCATCGCCTTGGATACCCACGTCTTGTTTGGCTTGATTTGGGCTGAAGGTCCCGCGGCAGATTTTCTAGGGACCTGAGTACCGGTACCCAGCCGCAATTCTCAAAAAGAGTGCTTCCTAGAACTCTTTTTCCTGAAACATCCCAATCAAACTCTAAAGCCCTTAACCCCCCAAACCTCGAAGCCACACTCCAAGCCCCAGCCCTAGTAGAGGGGCCTCACCGGTACCCAGCCGCAATTCTCAAAAAGAGTGCTTCCTACAACTCTTTTTCCTGAAACATCCCAATCAAATTCTAAAGCCCTTAACCCCCCAAACCTCGAAGCCACACTCCAAGCCCCAGCCCTAGTAGAGGGGCCTCTATTAATAATTGGAATAGGGTTTTAAGGGATATTCAATAAGGAATCCCCAAATTGCATAGGCTAATTATTTCGGCCCCCTATATTAAATAATCACTCCAAGCCCCGAAGCCCCAAACCCGGGAACACCCCAAGCCCTGGAGCGACCCTGGAGCCCCAGCACACAGTTTTCAGATACCAGTACCTCGGACGCTTCAAAGAAAGAGGGCGTTCAAGGTTTAGGGTTCCCCTTTAAGTAATATAGGGGCCTTAATAATTAGAATAGAGTTTTGGGACCCACTCCACTGTAATTAGGGTTCAGGGTTTAGGGTAACCCCCCCTATAGAGGAAGCCTTCGGAAACTGAGTGACTATTGTTACATGGACTCATAGGGCAACAGGAATCCCGTTCGCAGCAGGCTTTCCACTTCGCCCCCATTGATCGGCGGATGCGAAAGCTGGCTCCGCAGTAAAGCTGCTACGGCTGCTTGCTCCAACAGAAATCCCTAAACCCTAAACCCTTCATCCCAGGCACATTTGGCCGCAGCATCGATGCCGTCGAATACAAGCTTGCGGGTCTTTGACTCCTGGGACGTTTCAGAGTTTCAAGGATTCAGCGCGTAGATTTACTGTCTTTTTATGGCTGCGCAGGGTTTCAGGGTTTCTGGGTTTAGATTTAGGATACATGTGTGCATATACGTATACAGTACACACACACACACATATATATATATATATGCATGTATTGTATGTATGTATGTATGTATGTATGTATGTATGTATGTATGTATGTATGTATGTATGTATGTATACATATATAAATATATGCGCATATATAATATATCTTTTTGTGACATAAAAAGACTTCTATAGATAGAATTATGCACATCAGGGTTTCGAGTGCATGGAGCAACCGGCCTCGGGATATTCTGGCTTTGGGAGGGACTTCATATAGGCGCCAAGAATTCCCTTTCTTTGAAAGGATCTATAAGGGTTTCTAGAAGGGTTCTATATTATAGGGGTAGAATAGGGTCTCGGGTGCATCATACTATATGCTTACTTTTAAGGAATGCAAGGGAATAATATTACATATTACACACCATTCCGACCCCTGATTTCGGCTTCTGCGGCAATCTCTCCTCACCATCCTCCTTGTCGGACTCAAATCGTGGCGAGTTAGGAGCACCTCCCAGCAGGGATCATGCCAAACTGAGGCTTAATGTGGGGGCATTCTACAATTAGAATATAGTTAGACCAGGGTTTGGGATTATAAGACGAATAGTCGTGGTAATGGTTCAGGCTTCCAAAATCCACACTCTCGCGCTCGGAGGAGGCACGTGGGGTTTCAAACCACGAAACACACCCACAACATACGGTATAGTAGCATCCTTAGGAAAACGACCCGTAAATAAGGCACCGCTGGTTGAAAGAAGCCGCCAAGGTTCGTCATCGGGGACCTATGGTTGTGTGAAGTGCACTAGCCACCGAGTACGGTCTAGTTGCACGCCCTGGCTCTGCCAGAAGTCCTGATTATGTCGATATGCGGTGAAAGAAAACTCTTTGCAGTCAAAATTCGGATCCCTCATGTTGCTGAAGCCTGGGCTTCGTTTTTCGGCAGAAATACCAGGTCAGACGCAGAAAGCCTGTTTGGTTCGCAGGGGACTGGGAGGTGGCAGCAGCAGCAGCAGCAGCATTAGCTGTAGCGAGGGCCGTATTACTAAACCGAACCCAACAACATTCTAGCGGCCGAAATCATAGCACGAGCTTTCTTGATAACAGTGCAACTGCAGAACATGCCCACACCTTTTGTTTTAGGAGCATGCCTCGCATACAGAAGAGCACGTCATACATGACATCAACATCAAAGATGGTAACAAACATGATCCCCATTCTGTTCTAAGGCATATCCGGGTTCTATGCAATATTATGAAACCCTGAAGCGTGTGAAACCAAAAAGAACCTTCAAAGAACCCTGGAACATCCTTACAGAACTCGTGCGAAATCCTTGGAGGCTTATCAGCGCATCCGGCCTGCCATGGCGTTTGAAAGCGAGATGCTTTGACGGAAACGTTCACGACGAGTCACACTAGTGCCCTGTTTCTGTTGAGCCGCGTCGCCACACGAAATGAATGCTTGGGAATGAGGTTTTCGGGCTCGGGGCCCTAAGGTAGGGGCCTGAATAATTGAAAACAGGGTTTCGGGGCCCAATATACTATACTTATAATAAGGA